CAGGTGGGTAGTTGCCCTTATAGGAGTTCTATATACCTTCTAGAAGCCTTATAGAAGCCCTATTACCCTAAACTCCCCACCTGTAGTTTCCTTTAAATTGGTGTTTTTGGTCCCTAAGCCCTAAACCCTAAACCCTAAAACCCTAAACCCTAAACCCGAAAACCCTAAACCCTAAACCCTGAAACCCTAAACCCTGAAACCCTAAACCCAGAACCCCCCTACATTAGGGTTTAGGAACCTCCGGAGACAGGTGGAACTCTCGTCCAAAGGGATGAAGGCCTCTGCGGGGAGAGGGGAGGGGGGGAGCTTGGGTTTACCCAGAGAGCCCAATACCCCTTATGGTTTTAGGGTTTAGGGTTTAGGGATAACCCTTATTCAGGAATATACTGTATAAATCATAATATTAAGAATTTTCGGTCTAATACCTTATTTAAGAAGTATTGGGCTCTCTGGGTAGAGACAAAGCCCCTAGCGACCCAAAATACGGTTCTTCACTGTACTACTCCAAGAACGTGATGTGAATTAGAGGCTGTGGAGAGCTTTTAGCAGGCCTCGCTGGAAGGAGCGCGCTGCACCATATCTCGAGGATCATCATTTTAGGGTTTCGGGCATTCGGCCCCCTGTGTGAGCGTAGAGCCCTGATGAATCACCCCGTAAGCATGCAGCAAGTGCCCGACAAACCTCCAGAGGTCGCTCAAGGCTTGAGGTAAGGTGAGGAAGTCGAGCGAAAGCAGAAGTCTAAGAGACATGCCATTAATGTATATGTATGTTTCGGCAGATACATTGGCATGAATTTCTATGATAATTTATTGGTGCTGTTCCTTTGGCCGTCGGATGCACATGTTGTTCGGGGTACTGCGAAGCACTACCGCAGCAGCATCACACCAACCACCATCCTCATCACAGGACCTGACAGCTGAAATTCAGTACCACCAGCAGATATGACCCTCGAAACCAGAAGCATTGTAGCGAGGTGCAACGGCGAGTGAATGTAAAGAGCATGTTCGATGCGAGGCTTTCCGTAACTATCCGGTTCTCCCATGCACATCCGCTGTTGTGCAAGTGGCAGACAGCATGCACATACTGCTTCTCGGCGCTGGCTGCCTCACTGTGGTTCTTCTGGCTTATATCGGGGTGTTCCTGGTCCTCTTTCTGAGTGGCCACCTCCCATCGGCCGCTGTCGACGACGAGAATCACCAGGCCCAAGCTCGCATCAAAGTGATCCCGCTGCTGCCGCCAGGTCCTGGGGGTGTTCCGAAAACAGGGGACAATAAATACTATAGTTTACTATAGTACCCTAATATAGTAGGATCCTTTTTATTAGAACCCCAAAAGAAGGTACCCCCTAAACCCTAAACCCTAATTTCGGAAGCTCCCAGGTTCAAGAGGCTCCCTACCTTTATTGCTGCATTGGTGGCCGCCGCCGGAGCTCAGCCGATGTGAGGAGATCCGCGCCAGAACGAGGAGATTTGTGGCGGAGTGGGTGTTTGAGACCGGGCTCTACTGGGCCGACATTCTGCAAGATGCCATGATTCTTCTGGCATTCTACAAGGAGGAGTTCTATGGCTTCCTCTTCTTGGGCATTAGCTTTGTGATGGTGCCTCCTATCTGTGTGTGGGCATTTAGGTATGCCCTTGGAAGGGCGCAAGTGTCCAATTTGCTTTTGTCCATCATTCAGCTGGAGTTCGTGTACCAGTCCACCATGTCTCTCGTGACTGTGGAAAGGACCACTGACCTTTTCTGGCAAACAGCCGGAGAGGGTGGGCTGGAGGCACCGTTGCAGTGCATTCTGCAAATCTACAAAGTCCTTGTGACAGGCCAGCAGGAGTGCGTTCCCCAATTCATGCTCTCGATCATCACATCTCTGTTTTGCACCGCAAACTCCTTTGCGAAGCTCGACAAGTATGGAAGTGGCCTGTCAGTGCTGTCGCGTGAGCATGCCCGGCAGGTCTGCTGGCGGATCCTGTGGCTGGCCCCTCGCCTGTTGGGACTGCCGATCTTCGCATATTTGACACGTCCACATCATGTTGGGTTGCACGAAAATAAGCAAGTGGTGGTGTTTCTCTATGCCGCTTTGGAGCTTCTCTTCACTTGGCAGATTGTGATTCGCAGGTCTTCTGTACCGTATGTTCTGGGAGTACAGCTGTTTTTTGCAGCTCTGACGATGATGGCCGTGCCGCCAGTCATGCTTCCATCTGTCCGTCGCATGCTGCCAGTTTACGCCGCGCAGCGCTTGATGAGTTTCTTCGTCATGGCACTGCTTGGGATTAGCATGTCTCCCATAAACACTGCTCACGCCCAGCTGCTTCTTCAGCCTCCAGCTGTAATTATTCTGGCAGTCTTCCTCTTGACATTCCTGTCATGGCTCGTATCGGCAATCAACATCCTTGTCCAACAGTGTTGTCATCGAGATACGAACGGCCGCGAGGATGATTATGCCCTCTTGGGCAAAGAGCCTGGCTTAAAACTCGAGAGCGAAAAGCAAGAGAGACAGCTAGCAGTGGCTTTGCGCGAGGCCGTTGCTTCCGGGGACGAAATTCTTACAACATTCCTTCTGCAAGAAGGAGCGTCTGTGGATGGAAAGCACGATCCTGGTGTTGGTGTGTTGGAGTTGGATTTGTGGCGCGGGCAGAAGTTTGCAGAAGCCATGACAGGTCTGGAGGTGCAGATGTGCGGTAGAAGTGCCGGTCTGCTGACCATGGACATTCCTGCTCCAGATGACGATGGGGAGTGGTATTACGAAGTGGAAATATTTCAGCATGACCCAGCATCCTTCCGTGTGGGGTGGGCAGTTCCCGGAGATTGCATGCGCATGCCGGAGATGGGACCCTTTCGGCCACTTGGCGGCCTGGATGATATTGGCGGAGACGATCGCCCCACCGAGTTGAGCATGGTTTCTTCTTTTGCAGCTGCATGGGTGGTAGAGGTGACATCCGGACATATCCTGCACACGGATGGTGCCGGGACATCAAGCAAAGTTGCCTTCTTGCCTGAAGCCAAAGTGTTGGGCTGTGTGGCGAAGATTCGCTCCGGGACCGCTCAGGTGTTCTTCGTGACGCAGGGAGATGCCGGAGCCGAGGTGACGGAGGCATGCACATTTGACATCCAGGGCCGCACACTTCTGCCGGCCATCAGTGTTATGGGATCTTCATGGCACTTCAAAGTGAATGTTGGGAACGAGCCCTTCCTGCTGAAGCCGTTTGGGGCAGCTGCGGTGCTCACAGCAAGAACAGGAGATCCACCCGCCGTGACAGCAGCGCGAAATGGTCATTGGACCACTTGCAGGCTTCTCCTGGATCGTGCAGCGGATGTAAACAGCATGGAGAGCATCAGGCGTAGGACCATGCTGCATTACTTCGCTGATCAGGGGCAGGAGGATGCTGTTCGGTGCTTGATTGAGCGGCAAGCCGACATTTGGTTACAGGATTCAGATGAGCAGGATGCACTGACACTGGCGCAGTCAGCTGAGACCGGTAGGTTGATTCTCAGAGCCGCCGGTGACCGGCTGAAGGAGCTCATCTCAAGGCCGTCCCGTGGAGGCTGGTTCACTGCTTTGCACCACGCTGCGGAGCACGGGAATGCAGTGCTCGTGCGTCTGCTGCTGGAGTGGAGAGCCGAGGTCGATGGCCCCGTGCCCCAGACTCCCTTGATCTGGGCGGCAGCACGAGGTCGCAAGGAGTGCGCGGAAACTTTGATTCGAGGCCGAGCTGATCTGAGTCGGAGAGATCAAGCGGGGCTCGATGCTTTGTCCTGGGCCGAGGAGGCCTACGTTTCGAAGCTGGGCGGCTTCGCCAAGCTGCCAGAGGAGCAATGCGATGCATTGCAGAAGGATCTGCTCCTTCTGCTCTCGCAGAACTGAGGAAAGGCTGCGACGATGATCCCGAGTTGCAGAATGCTGAGTCTGCAGGCAATCAGCTGGCCAGCCCGTCAATGTTGGCACAGCAAAAAGTCGGTGAGTTGTGTTAAAGGCGCGCTGTGCTTGGTGTATTTGCGGTCGAGATGTAGCGGTTGGGATTTCGGGTCTTCGGTGCGCCCAAGTGTCCACGGCTGGGAAGGTGACCCTCAACGGGGATCTCTTCAAGCCGCTCTCTGCAGATTTCCTCGGCGAGGTGTGGCGATTCAAATCCTGGTGGCTCCGGCAGACATTCAGAAACCTGCAGAATACCCCTTAAATAGGGAATATACCTGAAATTATAGGGGCCTTATATTATAGTTTAAGGTATACTTATTTAAGGGGTATTGGTTTCCTAGCAGAGATCGGTTCATATTCATCAGCTGTCGAGTTACCTCAAGTAATCTAGGGGCCTCAATAATTTAGGGTTTTGGGGGTTCCTTGCTATAGTTGGAATATAACATATCCGCAAACCCCTTTTCTAATTATTAAGGCCCCTACGGTAGGCGCTTGTTTTTATGTCCCGGCCGCTGCTTGGAAAGCCTCCGACGAAAGTCCTGACCCTAGTGCCTGAATCCTCTTCCCTCTTACTCCGTGTCACCATCCCCTAAATCATAAACTTTGCCACATCCTTCCAGCAAATCCTAGCAGATGCCAGTTTATTCTCGGTACTATGATATCTTGCACATCAGTCGTGTAGACGTGCATACATTCCAGTTGCCGAACTCTGTTGATCGCTTCCCCTCTCTCTCTGTCTGTCTGTCTGCGTTTCTTTTTGCTTTCTGTCTCTCTGTCTCTCCCTCTCTCCCTCTCCGTCTCTCCCATTTCCACCTCTCTCTCTCTCTCTGTCTCCCTCTCTCTCTCTCTCCTCCTCTCTCGCTCTTTCCTCTTCTACATCACATGTGTGTGTTGTGTATCATCTAGTTAGCTGCCAGGCCATTTCTTCCTATGTATCTCAGTAGCTTGCCTTGTGTTTGCGCATGCAAGCATGTACACACATCGTTGCAGTCTTACGTCTATATGCACGGATGAAGGTAAGGCTGAACTGCAGAACTTTCCTGCACAGAGGCCCTGCCTCAGGACCAACTGCGACGTTGAGTTTAGGGCGCAGCCTTGAAGCTCAAAATGGGGATTCCACTTACCCAGGACCTTCAACAAAGCCCCTAGCACGGCTGCTCTTGAGCCTGAAGCTGAGCGATCAAAAAGCAGCTGCCCTCATGTTGCCCAGGTGGACAGTGGAGGGCGGCGTGCTCATCATCCACCTCTTCAAGCGTGCCTTGGCTCTGACCGCAGTTTGAGGTTCAACATCCTCAGCTACTTGGGTCATTCGCTTGAACCAGGTGTACTGGCGCAATCAAGCCTTCCCCCCCAATCCGTAACGACCGGGACTTGCTCCAGAGAAAGACAGCGATTCGGTGTCCTGATCAGACGAGCTGCTGCTACAGTAGACAAACCTTGAGAGGAAGTTTGGACGAGTGGGTGCCTATAGAGTTGACCAAGTTGGAAGACTTAGAACACAGTTGGAGGGTATGTTGCACTCTACTATGACTCTGCTTACATAGACGATGCAAAGGAGTGATCAGCCTGAGCTGCTGCGACAAGCGATCCTGCGCTACCCGAAAACCTCTCGACCCTGATGCACACGACTCTTAGTCCTAAATCCGTTAAAGCGCAACTTTAGGAAACACGCACTCAACAGCCCCCCCAAACCCTAAACCCCAAACCCCAAACCCCTAAACCCTAAACCCTAAACCCTAAACCCTAAACCCCTAAACCCTCAACCCTGAACCCCAAACCCTAAACCGTCTGGCAGCACCAAGGGCAGATGGCAACCTGGCGATTCCCTTTCCATCGCGACACGGGGGGCACGGGCCTTTTCAGGACGGTGCCGAGAGCTTCAATTGTAGGGTTGTTGTGTGTGTAGGGTTTAGCGTTTTAGGGTTTAGGGTTTGGGGTTTGGGGTTTAGGGTTCCCAGAG